TCCGCATCTCCTTCTGCGCATCACTCTCCCTCCCTAGTTCTTCCATTCCCCTTCCCCTCTTCCTTCTCCCTCCCCACTCCCTTCCCCTCTACGTTCTCCCCCCCTTCGTCAAGCCCTTCTCCTTCCACCACGCCAGCCCCCTCCGAATCCCCCTCCCCATCACAATCCGCTCAACCTTCAATTTCAGCATCTCCTAGCCCCTCCGTTTCCGCGCAACCCTCCTTTTCCCCCTCCCCAAGTCCTTCCTCCTCTCCCGCCCCTTCTAGTTCGCCCTCCCCTTCTATCTCCTTAAGCCCCTCTCCTTCAAGCTCCCCCCCCCTTCGGCATCCTCTTCTCCAGCCCCCTCGGCATCTCCCGCTCCCTCGGTATCCCCCTCCAGAAGCCCTTCGCCAACCCCTTCTTCGAGCCCCCCCCCTCGCGAAGCCCCTCTCCTTCTTCCTCCCCGGCACCCTCGACTTCCCCCTCCCCGTCACGAAGTCCCTCCCCTTCCCCTTCCGCCATTCCGTCTCCCTCCCCGTCTCGTTCCCCTGTTCCGTATGTCACGGTTTCCAACCCGACTTGCGACTGGGGGGGTCTCTCGAACTTTGATCCCGCCAACCCTCCCAACACGACCACGATCAAGCAGCAGATCGCGCAAGCGCTCCTGTTAGTGTTACAAACCTCGGGCGATCAGTGCGACTTGCTAGCGCTCCTCGCGAGCTTCAAGCAGCTGGTCAACTACTACAGTGACTTGGATCAAAGCACGGTCGCGCTGTGCCAGAACGCGCTGATAACCATCTCGGGTTACGTCAGCCGGAGCGCGTACGCCAACGACCAGAACATCGCGGCGACCATCATCTCCGTTTTGGGTCAACTCCTTAACCAAGCCCACTTGCAGAGCATCAACATTACCAGCTCGGCTTGTCCCCAAGGATACGGTTATTGCTACGGAACGCTCTACCCGTCCCCGTCTCCTTCCCCCTCACCCTCAAAGTCCCCAGTTCCTTCGACGTCCCCTTCTCCCTCACGATCCGCCGTGCCATCTTCTTCCCCCTCCCCTTCAAAAACCCCAAGCCCTTCCCCCTCGGTTAGCGCTTCCCCCTCCCCCTCAACAAGCGCAACTCCGTCTCCTTCCCTCAGCGCAAGCCCGTCTCCCTCAACAAGCGCGGTTCCGTCACCTTCCCTTAGCGCGTCTCCCTCCCCCTCAACAAGCGCAGTCCCGTCCCCCTCGCGAAGCCCTTCCCCTTCGCCGTCTCTCAGCCCTTCTCCGTCCCCCTCGGCAAGCGCTTCCCCTTCCCCCTCTCTAAGCGCAAGCCCGTCCCCGTCAATCAGTCTCAGCCCCTCCCCTGCAATCAGTGTCAGCCCATCCGCCTCGCCCCCCCCTTCCGCAAGCCCGTCGGCGCTAGCATCCCCCTCCCCCTCTCCCTCAAAATCCCCAGTTCCCTCTCCGTCTTCTTCCCCCTCCCCCTCCCCATCCCCCTCTAGTTCTCCCGCCCCGTCAACAAGCCCCTCTCCTTCGGCGACCCCCTCCCCGAGCGTCTCCGCCGTTCCGTCGCCCTCCGCGAGCCCTTCCGTTTCCGCTTCCCCGAGCCGGAGCCCCTCGCCCAGCGTCTCCGCCTCTCCCTCGGCGACCCCCTCCCCCAGCACTTCCGCGGTTCCGTCGCCGTCCGCCAGCGCTTCCGTTTCCGCCTCCCCGAGCAGAAGCCCCGCCCCAAGCATCTCTTCTTCCCCTTCGCTCTCCCCATCCCCGAGCGCGTCCCCCTCCCCCTCCCCCTCGGCATCGCAATCGCCGAGCCCCTCCCGCTCCCCCGTGCCAAGCCCGTCGCCTTCCACAACAACCCCCCCCAGCGCATCACCTTCCAAGTCCCCCCTGCAAGCCCGTCCCCGTCCAAGTCCCCCCCCGCAAGCCCATCTCCTTCAAAGTCCCCCCCGCATCCCCGTCCCCGTCCAGAT